CCAAGCTATTGCCTTCAATGCATAGCTCCTTTTCCAACCCCCCCCCCACTTGACAGCCAACTGACAGTGCTGGATTCATGCACCAATTTATCAGCTCCCGCCTGCAATGCGCAGCTACCTCCCCCTTCCCCCCAAATCATCGGTGAACGAAACTGCGGCAGCTACAACCAGTGTACGACGAGTACGCGGTTATTACAGCTGACAGTGATAATGATGATGACACTTCAAGTGCAGAAATTGCGGTACTTCGTGGTTCCGGTCAGGTGTATCTCGTTTAGCCGTTCATGCATCCGCATACCTCATTAAACTTGTACCTTACGGTCTGCGAAAAACAACGAGTGTGCAGTAGATTAAATAACAACCAACTAATGAGTTACTGTAGTTTACATCCAGACGCCATTGGCCGCTGCTTCGGGTTGCAGCGATGGCCATTCTGATGTAGCTTACGATTATGTTTCAGAAATTCGTACAACATGTTGTATGAACCCATCCGATGGTAAGGTGCGAAATGGGGAAACCATGCGTCGCATATCACAAATGTTTGAAACCCGTCCAGTCAGTAGGCTTCAGGATGATTGTGCTTTGATCACAACGGCTTATAGTTCCATGGATTTCACCTTACTAGCTTTGCCTTGAGCGAACAAAGTCACCTTTTCTCCTTACTGGATAGAAACTTTTCCTTATTCTTAGGGGAAGAGTCGGCAAGCCTGTTGTGAGTACACTTAAGGAATTACCTTTTGGTGCTGGGCCGGGCCACGATGCAATGTTACACATTGTACGATATCATATTTTCAACTTTGTGATGTTGATATTGCTATCTGTCCTGCTCAGTATATTACCTGGCGACATGAAGTTTCCCGAGTAAAAAAGGTCGTTCAGCTGTAACGCATTGCCCGTACCTAGCTGCCATGATACCCGAAGGAAGCGCGAGGGCTGAGATACTGCCAGATTGCCCAAGCTTAGACAAGGGAAGTCGAGAGGCTAAGGTCGGATTCGCACCACGGACCTTCCGGTCAGTAGATTCGCGCTCTAACCAATTGAGCCATCTAGCCCCGGAAGTTTCCCGGGTAGCGAAACTTTACCGATCCATCCTTTCCCACACAAACACAGTCATCGGAATCGAGCCATGTGGCCACAAAGAATAGAGTCAATTACGTCATCGAAACAGATCAGTTGTGACCGTTTTAGGCAGCGTATACAAAATCGAAACGTGGAGTTTTTCAAATATCGAATGTAGATGTGAGAGTTACACGAAAATCAGCAGATTTCTTGTGAGCGGGGTCAGAGCAGGAGAAGCACATTCCAGAGACAGCAACATCAGTGTTTACACTGATGCTTCACTGCCGTACAACCATAAAGTTCATCTAATTGTATTTAAAGCCTCAGGGTGAAAAGAAGAGCAAAAGTGGGGGAGGGGACCTAGTGCTGGTCTGTACCGAGCATTCTGAGGTACCTACTCCAAGCGCTCACGCAGACACCCGTCTCCCTAGACGGTGCTTCGGCATGCGTAACACATGACCGAGCCATCGTAGTAGATGATGCTGAATGTTTTCCCCGATTGAAGTATCTGCAGCACAAATACCCGTTTTCCAACCATCTCGTTTCTAACACGCTGACGTCATCCAAAACCAGCCACGCTTCTAAGGCATTGGTGGTCGAAAACCTGAAGGCGCCTTACACCATCCGTCCGCAGGGGCCATATCTCGCACCCATACAACAATACAGCCCTTATTGTAGCCTGGTACATACGACCCTTAAAATCTAGTGAAGTGTCTTTTTGACGCCATAAGTGACGCAAGTTAGCAAACGTGACTCGAGCCTTTGAGATTCTTGCACTGACTTCATCACGCACTTCCATCAGAGCTAATACAACTGCCGAGGTATGTAAAGTTTTCCAGAATCTCCAGTGGTTCCCCTTGAATTGTAAGGGATATGTTCGCAGATGGCACCTTCTGAAGCATGACTTTGCAATTAGAAGGTTCAAGGCGCATACCGAAAGATGGTATGATGGTTTATTCATTTTATTCAACAAGGTTTGTGCTTCGCTTTGGTCTTCAAAGACGAGGGCGATGTTATCTGCGTACTCCAAATCGACAAGGCTCTCACCAGCAACAATTTGAACGGGGGTTCTGAAGACCCTCCAGTGTTCACCTCATTATTTCGTCAATGACGAAGTTGAACAAGAATGCAGGGACATCGTTATCTGACACCATTTTTTCTAGGGAAGCTTTTGAACAGCTCATCATACACTCACTCGCCCAGAAGGATGTGAATATAGGGATCGGATTGTGTTTACAAACTTCTGGGGCATACCCTGTTGAGCAAGTGTAGTTAACAGAACTGGTCGATCAACAGAAACGCACCCTCGAAGTCAAGGGTGGGCTCCATATTCACTGTCCACCTTTCCGTCCAAGGCCACGGTTGCGGGCTTTATGTAGCAGGTGACCATCTGAATCGCTGTTCGGAGTACTGTATCCAGCGGTCCAAACGTTCTTTGCTGGATATCAGGGAGTCCTTTTGGTCCCTGGTAATTTCACTGACAAGAGGCTTTTGAGGACCAGTCGAACGAATCAAACGAAACAGCTCGCTGATTTTTCCAGCATTTTCTTACATCTTCCATTTCTTCGACCTTTTGGATCCACAGCTTCTCTGTCAGTTTTACCAGGCGCTGGATGAAGGAAGTGTGGTTGTGGCTAAGGGGGAATTGGTTACCCGGCCTCAAGCAGAGACATAGTCCTACCAGAGGTGCGTGAATTAGGCTGGCTGGATTGTACCACATACAGAAGTTCCGCGTCTGAGTAGCGCTTTGGAAATCTATTTCCAGTGACCGCAGATATCCGAAATCGGATTGTCCGGTAGACGTTGTGGGAGCTGGTTCTGATTTGATTTCTAGTTTGATTTCCCGGCCCAACAGCTGAGCGAGATGTAGACTTGAGAAGCAGCAGCGTACAAGTGCATGTTCGGAGTCCACGCTGTTGTTCCAGGAGAAGCCGCAAGGAGTGATCGACCCCGCCACCGATAACTGATGGCCATGAGGTACATTCGGATTCGGGGCGTTGATGGGCTGCACGTTGTCATGTGATTTCCGCTGTTCCGGAAATCGGTACTGCAATGGAACGGTCTGTGATCGGCATGCATCTGTAACAGACGATCTCCGTTGTCCGTGCTTGTTGTGTCCAAGAAGACCACCCAATCAGGCCCCAGAAGCGCTTAGTCTATCTACCTGGGCGTTCATGTTACCAGCAACAACAGTGGTATCTGCTACCCTTGTAACAGAGCATCATAGGAACTTTTGCAGATTCAGAGCTACAGTCAGTTGGGGCAATTTACTTCACTTTCCCTAGATTCTCTCACAGACGTTGCCGAACTAACCGCATAGAGTCGACTATCAGTGGGCATGCAGTCAAGTACACAATCTCCAGCTCGTTTGCTCAATACACTACCCAACCTACCATATCCAGCTGCAGTGGCCTTTGCATCACCAGAGGTGTGCAGCCAGAACCTGGAAGAGAGCGAGAGGTTAGTCAGTTCAAACACAGTACTTACATCCTGTATCCTTTTTTCTGAAGGACAGAAGAGGGAATCCAGCGTACAATCAAGAGCCATTTGTTTTCCCGTTCGCTTCAGTGTACGAACATTAAATTCAGCTAACTCAACCGGTTTCCAGGGTTTGAAAACAGACTTCGAAGTGTTTAGGGTTGTTACTGAAATGGGACGCACAGAAGCTGCAGCAGAGTGTGATGCACAACAAGCAAAACGATCAGTTGTGTTGCTGGGACCTGCGGTGGAAGTATTCGAATCTGGGTGGGGTAATGCAGAAGGGGGAAATGTTGAAAGTGTAGGAAGGGAGGCGTCAGCAGTAACCTGTTCTCCCTTACACGCCCTTCTGTATGCAGCAAACAAGGCGACCCGGTTGGTGAAACCACGCGATATCCTAAGTGAGATGAGAGTATTGTTAGTTGTATATGGGCTGGGATATTGCTTGGGTGCCCACACCTAGACAAGAGAACGATCAGGTCCTCAAGGAAAGCCTGACTACAAGGCAGCGTTGTTTGGCGGGAAATGCAAGGGCATTACAATTTTCATAGAGCTAGTCTCCAAAGAGCCTTTCAACTATCTTGAGAGAATTATTTTCATAAAGAAATCCA